ATGTTATGGTACAGATTACAGAACACTCTGTTTAATTTCATATATTAAACATAAAAAAAAAATTTCTATGTAAAAAGAATTTCCAATCAAATCATAAAAATGTTGCCTTAACCTTTGCTATTTTAATTCATGCAAAATTTGTAAAGAAAATGCTTAATTTTTCGCAAAAATAAATATATAATTATCGTTGTTATTCATAAATATGTAAGAAAAATTTTAAGAAATTCGAAAAGTAAGTAAAAATACCAGTAAAATCACTTATTTCAAAAGGAAGTTTTCCGCTCCGAATTATTTTCTTCCGTTTAGCACAGTCAAAACAATTTTTATATGGATGTTTGTAACACCAATATTAACAAATAATAAAAATATTAATTGATACAAAATATAAATAGCATGAATTTTAAAATGAGTTTTCAGTTTTGTCATGTAAAATTTTTCAGGGTCATTCGATTATGCTTCAAATTTAATAATTAGAGTTCCAGTTCTTAAAATTCTAGATCACTGTTAGGAGTAGTTAGAATACATAGAAACTGGACTCCCTTTTTTATTTGGTGAGATGTGATTACTAAAAAATCTTCAAGAAATCGACCACAATCCTAAGAATATATTCCCTGATGAGGGTAGTCAGATGAACAGTAGAAAAGATATAGGTCTCTTAATCTAGTTTTTAATTTAATGTTTATCGTCATGATTATAAAAGGGAAAACTATTTATAGGCTATATTAATCTCACTATCAATAGCGATATGCTTGCGAAAACAATAAGCTATTTATATATATATAATATGTCTCATACGAATCTCCATATATTAAATCATAAACTTAAAATAGATTTCGTAGAAGTCGTTCTTTCACCAAGAGCCTTAAAAAGTCAAGATGCCAATTAAAAGATTATTTTCTGAAGTTAATGGGTTCTTCAAAAATACTCACTAAGAAAATCCCAAAAATTTCCTATCGTCTGAATGGCGTCATGTTTTGAAACATATCAAATTCTGTAAATTTTCCCGTTTGAAGGATGTTTGACTAAGTTAAGGATATTTTTGCAACCAATTCCTTTTCAGAATTCCTCGTTAATGCAACTAATATAGTCTCTAATTTTTTATATCTGTAGGCGTTTCTCTCAGTAAAAGTGAATGGAAAGTAACGCCTTCTTTCTACTAGAAGTGCTAACTCGAATGGAAACAATTTATTCTGATGATTTTCTAGTGTACAAAGGAGCGTGGTATGATTTTTTCTTTAAACTTTAATTTTAGGGTGCAAAAAAATTATAAATATTATTTAAATCATAATCAATTTATTTATAATCTCCATACTCTCATAATTTTTTGCTCTTCTGGAAACTAGTAAGTTCGGTATTATTGCCACATAAATTATGAAACAAGATCAAGATAAAAAGGGCTTGCATAATCCCGTACTTAACAATAATGATAGAAATGGATATTTGTAATATTTAGTTTTTAGTAATAGTTAATCATTTTTATAGACATAAAAAATCATCGCAGTGAACGCCTAAAGAATGAAAAAATTAAAAAGTATTCTGTTAGAAAGTGTTCTAAATTTTATTGCCATGTAAATAGTTGTATAGTTTCTCCATTATTTTCTATTTTATTATACCAGCGTAAATATTGATATTATTCTTCCCTCTGGGAGTATTATTATATACAAAGCTACTTTAATCTTAATTATGTTTAATTTCCCATCGATTTCATCATATGTTCAACAGACTGATTTCCCACTCATGACTTTACTATTTGGTGCTCTCTCCCCCGAATTCTATTACCATTTCATACATTCCCCCATTACATGTGTCGATTAATGCCGATTTTTTTTTCCTTAAATATAGTATTTCTGCTTTTTATTGTTCACCATTGTTTGCATTTAAAGGCAAGTGTATCATACTTGATTGACGCCGGCCAGGTGGCCGAGTGGTTAGCGTGCCTGACTGCGAAGCCAATGGCTGCAGGTTAGAATCCCGCTCTGGGCATGGATGTTTCTTTCTCTCTGTGTTGTGTGAATGTATGAATGTGGCTCGCCCTATGAACGGGTATTTGTGGCAGTGTGGCGTGGGCAATGTTGCTCGCCTCCGTGACTTTGCTTCACAGGTGCCCACTGCGTAACGGTAAATGAGCAACACTTCCGGCATCTTCTAATGCGAAGAACGAAAGTTTAGTGCCTTCCGTTANGAAAGTTCAGTGCCTGCCGTTATTAAAAAAAAATTATTAATTGACTTGATATGAAATTTCACAGAGTACTTGTTCACAAGCACACACTTCATCCCTTCATTTAAGACGCCCCCTTGATGGGTAACTGAGACAAAACGGAGCGGTACGAGTCGCACTTCGTTGTTGTGGAACTGGGCGTCTGAGGCCTTACGCGAGTCACACTTGCTTGATGCTTGGTATGAGTGGTAGCTCGGTATTTGGCGTGAAGCGCCACAAACCGATTCATCGATACTGGTTTGTCATATGCTCTCAGGTCATAAGGAATATTAAAACTTATATTATTACAAGGGATAGGGGGAATTTTCCCCATTGTTAAATACGAGTCACACTTGTAATCAAGAACTGTATAGGCTAGCTTCCTAGAATATTTAAACTGGTAGTCAAAATATAATTTAAATTAAACAGTTTATCTCTGCTTAAACTTTTAAAAAAATTACTACAAAATTAATTGTTTGTACATGAACCTTTGAGTTATTTGTATGTAATGGTTAAAACGGAGTCAGGAAAGAGAAATAACGAAGTCAGAGAATTATTGATTTTGACACTAGAGCTGCAATTGACAGATTGTATTCGTATTAACGTGTGGTGTTAAAGATATGGGAATATTTCAGATATTTTAATTTTCTGAAATTTTTTAATTTAATTATTTTAAATGATATGTGAAAGCAGTTGAAAACGTCGAGACCTTATTTCAATCTTATTTTAAGTTATTATTACTATTATTTTGCAATAAACATGTTTCCATTTTTCAGCTTTTACGCGCTTTTAAGGTTTCGGTTACTACATAATTTTTTTGCAGAAAATCTGTTTAAATTTTATTTAATATTTTTCGCGTTTAATTATGGCGTGTTTAGTCCGTCCTTCAGAATTGAAAATTCATGCCCTGACACGGGTAGGACAATTGCCTGCAAACTATCATTTGTCTATGAGTATCAAAAAATATTTATCCGCCATAATTTATTAATGATTTAAGTATGAAAGATAGGGTATACAAAGTATTATGTGATATAATAAAGCAAAACAGTAAGAGTAAAGCACAGAAAAGAGCCTGGTTTATTTTTGGTCTTATTAACAAGAGCCATCCTCAATTTCAAAACACAAAGTGGCAGAAGGAAATACAAAACAAACACGTTGCAATCAGGTTAAAGTGGTTTTGCGAATAGGGAAGAAGAACAAACTTAAACAAGGAAATATAAAGTAGGGAGAGAAGAAAACATGTGTAAGGAGGGTGGAGTGGGATGGTCAGTTGTGCAAAGAGTATAAATGAAATCAAAATAGCTTTCGAAACGTTAGCAAAAAATGGGATACTGCAAAAATAAAAATATTTAATGATTCGTACAGAATCGGTTATAAAAGAATATTAAAAATATTTTCATATTATTCTGTCAAATAGCATTTTTCCTTTTTGAAATTAATAACAAAAATATAACATTATATTTAAGTTTTCCATCCATCGTTTTAATAATCTCAACTCTATAGAAAGATTTCTATACTTTATTTCCTGTTTCTGTAAGCAGGTAAGAAGATAAATAAGAATTATAAAAATTCAGTTTTTTTCCCTTTAATAAAAATATAAAGCAGCGTAAAATATCGCGTGCATTATCATAATTTATTATGGAATCAATTTTACTGATTCAAAATTGGTATTTTACTGATTTTAAATAAATTGAATATAATCGACATTTAATACATAAATAAAAAAACTATACTTATTGAATATTAAATGTTGGTTCTAAAATAAGCGTAAAGTAAGAAATACAAAAATACTATCTTGCTGTATTTTACAAACGTAAAGGAGCTTTGAAATATCGTCTGCAGTATTTTATTTCATTAAGGATAAAATTCAATTTCATTATCTATAATCTATTACTAAAAATTCATAACATTGACATTATAAGTTTGTTTTTTAATTAGTGTTATGTAAGAAATATAAAAAAGCACTATCTTACTCTTTTTAACAAAAATATAATGCAGGTTCGTCAAAATGCTATGTCTATTACCTTAATTCATTAAGCATCCATTTCAATTTAATTTTCCTGAACGTATAGCAAAAAATACTATTTTTCTCTATTTAACAAAAATATAATGCAGGTTCGTCAAAATGGTATGTCTATTACCTTAATTCATTAAGCATCCATTTCAATTTAATTTTCCTGAACGTATAGCAAAAAATACTATTTTTCTCTATTTAACAAAAATGTAATGCAGGTTCGTCAAAATGCTATGTCTATTACCTTAATTCATTAAGCATCCATTTCAATTTAATTTTCCTGAACGTATAGCAAAAAATACTATTTTTCTCTATTTAACAAATATATAATGCAGGTTCGTCAAAATGCTATGTCTATTACCTTAATTCATTAAGCATCCATTTCAATTTAATTTTCTTGAACGTATAGCAAAAATTCTACACATTGATATCGAAAGTTTGTTTTCAGATTCGTGTTAAATAAGTAATATAAAAAATACTATTTTACTCTATTTAACAAAAATAAATGAAGGTACCTGTAGAACGCCAAATGCATTATCTTAATTCATTCTAGATTCAATTCGTAAATTAAATTTTTTTAAAAATATATTCTAAACATTCTATTCATTATTATCACATGTCTGATAACAGAGAAGTGTAAAAAAATATAAAAATACTATCTTGATATATTTCAGAAAAATATTACATAGATACATGTAAAAAGTCGTGTGAATTATCTTAAATCCGTATGATATACGTATTTAATTTAGTATTGTAACAGGTGTAGTGACATTTTCTAGAATAGGAATTGTGATAGAAGAATTAGAAAGTTCACGCAGTTTTTATCTTTCCTTTCATCGAAAATAATATAGATTGAATCTTTCGTTTTGGAGATGGCCTAGAAAGTACTTATGCAATAATATCCACGAAGGTAAGAAACATAATTGTTTTCATAATTTCATTTCTTTAGGAGTTATATTTGTACTAAAATATAAACTAAAAAAGTAGCTTGAAATTTTTTTTTTCATTCTTTCAAAAATTTACCAATAATTGATTTTGTAAACTAAAGAAATTTCAATGATGAATTACTGTTTCTCTTAGATTTATACAACTGCAAATAAGCGTAAAATTGAAAAATTATTTTTTGGAAGTGAGCTGTGTTAAGACGATCATACCTGTAACGCAGAAAAAGAAACCGGTTTTTTATGATTTATTTCCTAACCATAAATTAGTAAAATGGTGAACATAATATTTTTCACTTATTTTGAACTAAATTTATACAAAATATTGAAAAAAGTATGGAAAACATGCTCAATGTTTATGATTTATTTCCTAACCATATATGTTCATGAATATGTTCATGACTTTCTTCCTAACCATAAATTATTAAAATGTTGAATATAATATTTTTCACTTATTTTGAACTAAATTTGTACAAAATACTGAAAAAAGTATGGAAAATATGTTTAATGCTCATTATTTATTTCCTAACCCTATATGTTCATGATTTATTTTCTAACCTTAAATTATTAAAATGTTGAATATAATATTTGTCACTTATTTTGAGCTAAATTTATACAAAATATTGAAAAAAGCATGGAAAATATGTTTAATAAATATTCTGTGTCAAACTGCGTTATAACTGAAAAACACAGCAAGAAATTTATGTATTTTTCAAATTTCATTTAAAAATTAAATTTTTTTCTCATTCAAATAGTTACTGTCGAAAATGGAACAGAGGATAGTTATGGATGAGTAAAAAAAACTATAAATATTTCAAATTCTCCAATTTTTTTAAAGCTTTTATGTGTAGGTGCTAATTTTTGTGTATTTTACGTAAGTACTGTTACCGTTAAGGCACCATTTACATTAAAGTACCACCCAGTAAAAAAATCACAGAAAAATATTTTCTTTTATAAAATGTATTTGGGCGAAGCAAACTTTAGAATATTTAAAATTTAGAAATATAAGTTTTGATGTGATATCACAATGTTGAGATAAACGACAAAAAAAAAAAAAAGACGTGTTAGGATATTTTTTTATTTAAAACTTAAGAATAGTGGTCTAAGCAGCAAAGCGAATTTATTTTTAAACCGAAACAAATAAAAACTTTTCGAAACAACTTCTCATAAATAACGTGTTTCATAACTAAATCCAAAACTTGAACGAAATCAGCTATATAGTTCCTGCAAAAATGAGGAATAACTTTCATTTTGTAGAGTCATTTTATCCGATTTCGTAATAATTTGTCGAATTGAAAAGTAACAGTATTTGTAATAAGATGATTCGACTTAACATGATAAAATTTAAGAACAATGGTCTAAGAGCAGAAAAGGGATTTTTTTAAAAAGTCGAACAATTTAAAAACTTTTCAAAACACCCTCTCATAGCGTGTTTCTTAACAAAATTCAAAATTTTTGAACAGAGTTACGCACAGTGCTTACGAACTTGGAGGTAGAGGTAGAGAGGGAATATGATAAGGATTCCGTAGCAAACCATGCCTGGAAATATCGTATGGCTCCGCTAGGGGCGCTACTCTATTATGGACTGGCTGTTCGTGTGCATTTAAACCGGAACTTTTTTTTTAAATCAAAATTTTACAAATTAATTAAATATTATACTTTCTAATAGTTTCAGCCGAAAATTGAATTATACATAAAATCAGATTTACCTGGTTTATCGAAGTTTATTGATTTAGTAACTTACTCTGATTGCTGAATCAGCTGAAGCAGCAAAGTACGATAAAACAGCAATTTCCGGTATATCGTATCTATTTTAATGTAATTTTTGACAATAATTATTACAAAAATATAATTGAGATAATTTAGACAAATAAAAATTGCTCACGAGCAGCCACTCCCCCAATAGGGTAGCGCTTCAACCGGCAAAATAAGCCATTTCTGGTCATGGTTTGTTGGAACATGTACTCTCCACTAAATTTGCAACTGTAATAATGAAAATCCCTATAAAATAAAGAATATATCTTAACATGTAGTATTCACATTAAACATCAATGGCAATAAAAATTATGAATATTAAGTTTCTATATTTTGTAATGCAAAATAACTATTCTACATTTTTATTATATGCTACAAAGCACATCAGTAAATTCATTGGATTTGGAGAAGGTTTCCAAAAATTAGGTATAGATAAGTAATTTTTTTGCTGTGATTATGAATATTGTTTTGACGAACGGATTATAAATCAATTCACCAATACTTGAATATTAAAAGTATTTTTATCATAAAAATTTAGACATATTATCTTCAATAATCTGCTAAAACATTCGTATTAGCTAATGTATACCTACTTAAATTTGTATTTGATATGGGATAAATTACATATTAAGCACCAAAAATGTCTACACATTTTTCAGGATTTAATTTTCTAAAAAAATTAATTAGTTATTTTGAAGGAGGAAAATTTTTATTATAAAATTTGCAATACATGAACCTGCTTCATAACACATGACGTTTCGTCATCGCAATTGTCAGTGGTAGTGATGATCTATTTAAAAAAAAAAGAAGGAAGAAAATGAAACTCGATGTTTTGACTAACTAGGACACATTGATAATTGAAATGAATGTATTTAGTTCTAAAACTGGCAGCTGTTCTGTTTTTAAAACAAACGGAAATTTAAAACTTCAGTATTTTCCTTTTTACATAAATTGGATACAACTGTTTAGTTTTTGATAGGTAGCTCCTGCTTTTTATTATACTTTTTGGAAAGTAGAAAATAAAAGTATACATTAAACGCAGCAAAATATTACAACTTGCCATAACATGAAGAATCCTTTTCAAAATATGATCAAGAGCATCAAAACCAATTTGGTTACCTGACACAGTTCAAATGGTTTCATTGCTTTTAATGTCCCCTTTTCTGTGAATTGACCTTGATATTTATTCGTTTATTACATTTTAAACGTTTTTTTTACTGTTTTTTTAGTTCGGAAGCCATGATATGTATAATTTCATTTTTTGAAAACAATATTAAATATATATACAGTAAAACTTGTGTAAGTTGACCACTTGTGGTGCATTGTTTTAGTGGTCAACTTATAGAGGGGGTGGGTCATTGTTTACTTTTTCGTTTCCTACACCCTGTTGCTATATATAAGTTTTTTTTTCTTCTTTACTTTACTTAAAAATTTCATTCAGAGAATATCCAAATGAATATCTTAAGAAATGTGTTTAAACCTGAATGAACTTCAATTTGATACATAAAATTCTAATATTTAACTAATTTTTAAAAAAAAATTTTTTTTTCGTAAGATATGCATGTGAAGTGTTTAATAAAAATAATTTTTTAAAATATCAGAACAAGAAAACATGTAATTTGAAAACTTTAACAAAATAAAATTATTTGAACACTTTAAAATTTATTTACTACACTTAANATATTTAACTAATTTAAAAAAAAAAAAATTATTTCGTAAGATATGCATGTGAAGTGCTTAATAAAAATAATTTTTTAAAATATCAGAACAAGAAAACATGTAATTTGAAAACTTTAACAAAATAAAATTATTTGAACACTTTAAAATTTATTTACTACATTTAAAGATCGAAGACCATAAATAAAGGATCAAAGCATATTTCAGAGCATTCATTTATTCAAATGCTCACTATCGCAACTGGAAGAGCAACTTTTCAACTAACACTCGGAATGATGAACTAATGAACGGATGAAAGAAATGGTCAAAAGCTGACCCCCTACAGTTTCCCCCAATAGTCAACTCACAAAAGGGTTTAGATTAGCTTTTTACACTATTTCACCAAACAAGTGAAATTTTAACATACATTGCCAAAAGGACTGAAAATTTTCTGATTTTTTTTTTCTTTTTCTGGTCAACTTATGAGGGTTTTAGAATAGAATTTCATAATACTCCTAGACAAAATTGACTTATTTCAGTGGTCAACATACAAGATAGACAGGTGGTCAAGTTACAAAGGTTTTGCTTCTTTATATTATATAGGAAAAATTCCGTTCTTGATAATTGAGGTCAACTTATGTAGGTGCCCAACTTACAAGGGTGCTCAACTTGGCAGGTTTCACTGTATTTAAAATGGCATTTTTGGAATACCTTGTAATTGTCTTAATACTTTGATAATATATTTTTCCCCCCAACAGGATCTGTGAATCAACAGACTGAGGAACTCCGCAATAAACCTGAATCGCATTGCTATCAACCTTTTTTTTGTCCCTATCGATATTTACACTTTAGTAAACATGAAGCTGGTCTTCCTATTCGCTTTTTTCCCTTACGTGCTAAGTGCTGATTACAGACGAAATGTTTATCCGTCTTTCGAAGGTAATATCCAGAACAACCATGAGTATCAAACACAAAGTATTCCAGAAAGCGTGGACATTGTTGTGAAAAGCTGGTTGGCAACAGATTTAAGCCTGCGAAAAATCTCCGAAAAGTTAGTACAAACCTTACTACCTTCCGCCTTTAAGTTGCTCACAACATCGAAGCTAACTACGGACTGTTCAAAGGATATTGTCAACTTCCTGAGGGGTATTGCTGAAACCAAGATTTGGGCCTATCAAAGTAAGTACCTTCTTGTTTACCCATCGCTATAAATAACAGACATTGGTTCTAGTTTCAGAATCAGGTCTATTGCAGGCTTTTAAAAAAAATTTGTAATCAACGTATAAATCATATTGATATAATGTAGGTACTTCAAAAATAAAATTTTTATAAAAGTGGCAGAGAACTAAAATATATAGTTTGCAGAATATGGGATGATTTTAAAAATATTTCAAAGCGTTAATTATTGAGGACAAATAAGTTAATGCCACTTCGCAGCAGTGTACTGAGATAGTTACCCTATACCAACACTATGTTTGTACATTATGTTTCAACACTATTTAAACATTATACCTCAACATGTTTCAACATTATGTTTCAACAATATTTCAACATTGTGTCAACATAATTTTTACATTATGTTTCAAGATTACTTCAACATTATATTTCAACATTAGATTATGTTCAAACATTAGTTCAACATTATGTTTTAACATTACATTATGTCTTAACACTACATTATGTCTTAACATTACATTTCTTAACATTACATTATGTCTTAACATTACATTATGCCTCAACATTATGTTTTAACATTATGTTATGTCCAGCATCATGTAATTCCAACGCTATGTTATCCCAACTTTATATTATGTCCAGCATTATGTTATTCTAACATTATGTTATTCCAACATTTTGTTATTCCAACGTTACGTCCTTCCAACATTATGTTATTCCAACATTGTACGTATTAAGTCCAACATTTTGTTATTCCAACATTATATTAAGTCCAACATTTTGTTATTCCAAGATTATATCAAATGGATATTTATTTTTGTTCCTTTACCATTTTAGCTTCAAAAACAGTGTACTTTAACTTCAGATCCAATTATATATAATTATAATATATTACAGTCGACCAGACTAACTTGTTTTTGAAAAAAAATCTAATAAAGTAAAGTTAATGCTACTACTTTTTTCTTTTTTTTACAAAAATTTAACACTCCTTTTAATAGTATCTTAGGTACAAATGAGTCAAGAAAGCAATGATTGTTTCATATTTGTAACTAAACATTTCAGTTTATTAAAGCGTGTTGGAACCATGTAGATATAATTTTTTGTTTGCAAAAAATTAAAACCCTCCAAGAAACTGTATTTGTTTAAAAATTATTTAAAAGATTTAATTGAATTTATTTAAAAGATTCAATTTAAATTGTTTAAAAAATATTTAAAAGATTTAACTGAATTTATTTAAAAATTATTTAAATTATTTCATATCTTAAAAAAAATCACTTTCGAACGATTATGTTGTGTTAGAAATTTTAAACCAAAAATAAAAAAAAACAAAAAAAAACATCGTAAATGCACAATTTTTGAAAATTAAAATAAGTTAAATGGTATACGTTTAAAGCGAGTTAATATTTTCTAGTGTTGGCGACCACTTTATGCTTTGAGCTAATTTCATTAATATCCAATTAAATGTATCGGCTAACCTCTTCTAGAACGCGAAAATAGTAATTTTATTTATTAGTATACATACGACAGCAGGTTTGTGAGCTCAATTACGTAAGCACCGCTTATAAGCTTTTGTCAAATCGAAGAACAAACATTGGTATTTTTACTAACGCATGTATCGGATTCACGCAATTCTTATGAGGTCACACGAAATGTTCGTAAATATTATGAGGTCGCCACACCAAAAATTTTAAGAAACTTTGGTCTAGCACTTTACTCTAAAATATCTCAGATTCTAAATTGCAATTGTAATTAAGGATATTTAAATTATTAATATATTATGGTTAACATAAACGTCTTATTTTCCAGAAATCAATTTCAAGAATGAAATAATTGATTCTTTTATCAATAGTAGAGCAACCAATAATTGAGCTTTAGTACTTAGTAGTACTTTCGTTTTCACTTAAATTTGATCACAATATATAATGCATCTCATTTAGAAAATATACGTGGTGATTTAAAAACATCATCGCTGTCTTACTCCTTGCTTAATTTTATAACAAAACAGTTCAGCCAAATTTTTTGTTGAATTTTAGCCTGATAGTCGGTCCTGGAATTGTTGTAACAACAATAATAAAAATTCGTGTCATGAAGCATTAGTTTCAATATTAAAAATATGAGTCATTAATATCAAATACATATGACACATCAATATAAAAAATAAAAATTCGTGTCATGAAGCATTAGTTTCAATATTAAAAATTTGAGTCATTAATATCAAATACACATGACACATCAATATATAAAATTTTCTACATTTTTATCTAAATTATACTATATTTAAATTATGATATTTTAGTGTCATTGTATGAAATATCAAATGTAGGTATGTATAAAATCTTAGTTAAAAATATGACAAATGAACATAAAATATATATGTCAATTTCAAAAATTTGTTTGATATATTAATATTCATAAATATTAAAAAATTTCAGTATTTTTTTTTACAAATTATGCTAAACTTTTAAATCATGATACAAATGCACCATAAATATAACATATCGATTTCAAATATATGAGACATCAATTTAAGTAATTTTCTTTTTTCTTACTCAAGTAATGTTATACGTAAATTATATATTTCATCACCGTAAGTGCAACATATGGATTTCAAATATATGAGATATCAATTTAAGTAATATTTTTTTTCTTATCCAAATTATGTTATCTTTAAATATTCAGTATCATAAATATGATATAAAATTATTCAAAACGTATTATATTAATTATAAAAAATATGATATTTCAGAATAAAAAATGTATTACAATTATATCAATATTATAATATTTTAGTGTAATGATAAATTGATATAGAAAGTATGATAAATTAATATCAAAAATGTTGTTTTACCTCAGTCTCAAATTAGTTGCTACATTTTAATACTTTTTTTATTGATATTGATGATTTTATTCGAACATTTTTCGGAGATTTTAGGGTGCTATGTTATTATTCAACAACATTTACTTACCAAGCATTCCCTCCTTTCCAAATTAAATCAGTACCAAATTAATTTAAAAAATACAGGGTTCTCACACTTATTGGCCACGCTCTATTTTATAAGGCCCTTTTCACCAGTAATCGCATAAAACTATCTTCTAGATCAGGGATGGGCAAACTGCAGCCAGCGGGTCAACTGTGGCCCGCTTTATCCGTCCCGCGGATAGAATTTTAACTTGTCAACCCGTGACGAATATTAACAATATACATTCATTTTCTTGTCTACTTTGTTTAAAGCTATTTTTGTTCTTACTTCTTTAACAAAGTATTGATGATCTTTTTACTTTCTCTATTTTTGTTCTACAAAACATAAATTGATGGAAATAGGTAGCTTCAGTTGGTAAAATGTTGAAAGCAAACGTTTTTTATAGAATAGCCGTAGATTGGCGCCATCCATCTGAAGCAGTTGTTTCTAAATATGCCGAAGTTAGAGTGTTACAAATCATTACTAAAAGCCAGTTTCCCAAATTTAATATTTTATGCCCAGAAAATCAGTGCTGTGTTTGCTTCATCTTATATATGTGAACAAGTGTTTTTAACCATAAACCTTTGAAAAAATCATTTCAGAAGTAGACTAACAGGCAAACATTTAACCTTGAGTATTAAAATAAGTACATCTCACTTGGAACCTCAATATAAAAAACTTTTAAAAATGAAATCGCAATTTCATTTACCTCATTAAATATTTAAATTAAAACTTGCATATCGTTTTTCTATTTTAGAAGTTTTTACTTGGCCACCAAACTTTTTTTCTTCGTTTTTTCGCCCTCGGTCAAAAAAGTTTGCCCACCCCTGTTCTAGATGATGAATCGTGAATTTATTAACAGCAATATTTTAATAATGTCGATCTACTAAACGGCATTGAAAGTTATTTATGTCTCCCCTTTAAATGTAGCAATTGGTTTGGGAAAAAAATTTTTCGATCTGAATGTAGCAACTAATTTCGGAAGGAGTGGATATTGATTGTCTAACAGTTTCTTACTGCTATATTTTCTGACAGTGGTGGATTCATTCGGGAAAATACCTACTGGAATGGTCATGGGAACCGTGAGCTCATTGGGTGACTATCAGACCTGTTTGAATGCAACTGCCCCTGACTTATTCATTGGAAAATACTGCCTTGTAGACTTCGAAATACCTCTTCCAGAACAGCGTTACTTTCATCTTTGGAAAAAGGATGTTATTAAAGCTTTTAATCTCTCACATAATGACTCAGTAAGTCCTTATTATAAATTATTATTGATCTATACAAATATTTTTCTTCGTAAGCCAGCACCTCATAGAAGTGAGAAGACCTCAGCACAAATCAATTCAGTTGTCCAACGTAACGAACATAAACTGTGCAGTGGAAGCGAAATAAGAGAGATGTCACTACGCTCGGACAACTAAGCTACGCAGTGGGGGTTCATGCAAAAGATGTCATTAGGTTTGGACTATTAAGGATCAAAATATCTTGTTTATGGTAATCCGCGATGAGGCCTTGTCTCTTCTAGGAGGTAATGCGTAAACGCACAATTAAATCTTGAAAACCGACAGTTTAAACCATAAAAAACGACTTTAAAATGTAACACTCTGTTGTTTGTATAGAAAGAAGGCAAAATGAAATACGATATAAAAGTAAATAATTCTCGACTAAAATCCTCGGACCAGATTTACTAATATAAAGTCTTGATGGTTCAAGAGAAGCATTGCAAACATGATTATTACGTACACGAAAACTTAATAGTACTTTTTTCAAAAAATATTCCTGTTCATGTTTTTTTTATTAAAATAAAAACCTGCAAAGACTATAGTTATTGAAATGCTTTTTTTCAGAAACTATTAAATTATTGTTGAAATTTTAGCTTTAAACTTTAATCATATAGAATTGCGCTGAAAAACATAATGTAGATTAATACCTTACAATTCTAAATTTTATTATCGTATTTAAAATGAGCATTAAAATAATATTAAAAAAATTAGTTTTTTATGAAACTGTTTTAAATCTAAGTATAACTGTGTTCAAAAATAATCCCAAACGTACAATTAGTTGGAGGAATACGGTCATTCCAAAGATCGAATTCATATTATCATTCTTCCTAACAAACTGTTACAAGCATTTTTTCGACGTTGCTTTAACCGAATCAGAATGCTTTTTCAGAAAAAAATTAAGTTTTTGTGTCTGATTTAGTAATTGAAATTATTGTATCTTCGACTTAATCAGCATATTTAATTCTATCCCTATCTCTATCTAAGCACCTTACTAACTAGCTTATACTTAAAGTGATAAAACCAACTGAATTAGAAAGGCTCTGGTCTATATTAGGCAGTAATACTTATAAAGAAGAAGAATCTATACGATTGATAGTTTTGAGGGCATTGCTTCGTTTATCAAAAGTTTCATAATTATCTATTTATTTCTCTATGTTAGCATGGAGCTTTTTCATGGTTAGGTTATGGTGTTAGTGCTTATAATTAGGTTATGATATTTTTCATGTGTTATTATTTTGTGTGTGAACATTTATGCTCTAAACATTTTTTTAAAAAAAAGTAATCCTGTTAAAAGAAGCTAATTGTATTATTGCTACTAACCAGTATCAAAATTTACAGCATCAACCCGCAGTCCAATTTTCATGAATTGAAATATGTCTGCGAGCGAGCATAACACAGTCAGCCAGAGATTATTATACTAAAATATTGGATATAATGTAACATATAATGATTTAATATTACATATAAAAAATTTTGTTAAAAAAATTGTTATTCTTGTTAAAAGATTATTTTGTTGAAACTCTTGTAAATTAGTGGAGTAATTTAAATAATGACATTCTTCATTTTTCAAAATTCTTTTAAGTAAAGAACAACTTTTTGAAAATTATAACTCTTCTTTTGCATATCTGCAGATAATGAACTAGCTAATGAGAAAATATAGCAACACAAATTTTGTTAAAAATCTGTAACAAATAGTAGTTATTGTGTTTCATAGTTAAAAGGGATTTTTCTGTTTCACCCATCAGTTATATTTTAGGATTGCTTAATTAAAGGAGATGAAAATTAATTTGCAAATTATCTAATAAATCTGTAGAGCCCGCTGCCATGCAGGATAATCATTCGGCGTAACTAAATACAGCTATACCAACCTGCTCCAGACAGCGGATAAATATTTTCAAGTGGCAGTCATTCAATATTTTATTCTTGGTTTAATAAATTCGATTTATAGTGTTTTTACTCACTACTACTTCTAAATAATTCAAAGACTTATGTAATATGCCGCCGTGTTAAATTTTTTAAAAAAATACCAAAATTAGCAGAAAATCTGCAGATTTTAGTTTGCAGTTCTCTACCATTGTTTAAAATGTTTGGTGATATCCGGAAGACTTGGTATCGCTGTGGATAACTACATGTAATTTGGATCTATTCTACTGTCAACCAATCAGCCCCAACTCCATGAAAATCAATCCTATTCAGGAATTTCACGAAAGTTAAGAGAAATCAGTCCAATTTATTTAGCCTCGTAATAGTTCTAATTTTGCAAACTTCCAAAAATCGCTTTAATTTAAGATCGAAAACCGTACAAGTTTTATAGCGCATACGTTTTCGTGAATGACTGAAATCAAGAAAATGTCGACATTCACCGGTAAATGTCAACAATCACACATTCGCTTTAGTGAATGTCTGAAATATTTGTCATATCCGATTTGATACTAATTACTTCGTTGATATAATTATATTTATTCGATATTTTAATATATGCTGAGGATAGATTAGAAGAAATATCAATGTTCGGAGTACCGGGCAAATGTATTATACCGGGAGGTGGCACTGAGCCTTAAGAAACATAAGTGTAGGGTATACACTTATGTTTCTTAACTTATGTCTTATGTTGTTATATATATATATATATATATATATATAAAATAAATTTATTGAAACGTAATTTTCTTTATTTTTTTGACAACAATTCTAGATTGCGAATGAATTTTTAAAATTTGGAGAGAAGCTATACATGCTCCATCCTCGGACATCTATTTGTATTCCTTCAACATGTACAGACGAAGACGCTAGACTTATTGCAAGAAAAGGTAAAGTATACTTTAAACTATTAAAAACTAAACAAAAGCTAACAAGTTCAAACGGCCGGGAACAAATACAAAAAAGGGTCGGTGAATTTAAACAAAAAATAAATGTTTGTCGTCTTTGTAACATATTATTCCCTTTAGAAAAGAAAAACATTCATGCATTCGAATTTAACATTTCCCGGTAAGGTCTCAGTTAAGCCTCTGTTACCCGGTTAATTAAGTCTCATCTTTAGACATTAAAGCAAAGGTTATAATTGATTCTCACTAATCGAAAAATTGCTTTATTTATTTAAATTTTTTTTAGATGGCCTCGATAAATGTAGTTTGAAATGATTTGTACCACCACGACATGCCAATGTTTTAAATAGGATAATTCAGGATATCTGTTAATCATGTTGGACGGACGGAAAGAAATTGCAGAAATATCTGTGACAAATCTTGCTGCTATCTCACATTTGCACTGAGAAAAAATTCTAACATACAGCATAAAAGTTGATTGCTGTGGTTTCAGTAGTGGCAAGTTTGAAAAGGAAATAATTGTTGCTATTTGCTGCATTTTATAATTGTTTTACAATTGCTTTAATCCTTGGACGCTAATGGGATTCCGGTGTACTATGGGGACACCGGTGTGTATTTTGTTTTCTGATGCTCTTATTACCAAAAAATATATTTAGGTATTTCCTTAATTATGTATGACAGTCTAATAGTTACTAAAAAAAACTGTTAGATTATTGGAATTTTATTTGTACTAAAATATAAAACCTAATCCCCCAATTTTTACCCTCCTTATCCAGATAATGCAGCAATGGAGAAAAATTTGTAAAAGTTAAAAAATTAAACCACAGTGCTTTTCATTTTTCCGAAATTGTGACTTGTTCCTGTTGATGCTTTGCGCCATTTTCAAAATAAGCATAGAGTGCACAGGTGACATAACAGTCATGAGTAGCTGTTGCAAATAAACTCACAGCAGTTATGAAAATAGCATATGATTCGCAAAAAAAAACATCATTTCATACAACTGGCTCATCTCGTTTAATGTTCAGTCCCGTTTTCTCAGTTACTTAAAGGGTTAAGCACAATTAGGCTACCACTCCTTAATTTTTGATACGATGATGTGGTCAATTCTTTTATGTATAACTTAGGAGACATCTCCAGGGGAGGCGAGGTAGTCTGCCACAAAAACCCCTTCTCTTTCTTAAATTTGTTTGTTTAATCTCGCTAGTTCATTTTAATTTTCTTTCAGTAAATGTTACTGAACCCCAACTTTCACCTTTCAGTTGCGCTTCGGCGATTTATTATTTATTCCCACTCAGATGAATTAGCTAGAGCCTCTATCGGGGCTGATGCTAAGATAACCACCACATATGAGATATGATGGATAACTTAGGAGAGATGTTTATCAAAACGTTTACTTTAAAAACTTAGTTTAGTTTATTTGGTCCTTTTAAATCCATCAAATGCGAAGAAGAGATTTGACAACTACTCCGCATTTTTCAAAATATTTTGAGTCAACAAGTAAACACTAAAACTTTTAAAATTTTAGTTAATTTTGCCAACATTTCAAAAGCCACAGCCCGAATGAACTTGAGCGCAGAGATGTTTGCAGCATTCACTTATAAAGATGTGAAAAATAACTTCAAATCAAATTTGCTAAACAAAAAATCATGCATTAAAAGATAAACTTTTCCACAAAGAAAGTTTCAAGCCCTGGAAATATTTATTATTTTTATTTTTTAGCCATTCAGCTTGCAGGTCTTCATTTCAACACTAATATCAAGAACTGTGAAACGAAACTAGATCCCGTGGAAGTGACCTTTCTTGATATTTTATTAGGGTGAGTTGACACCAAAAGATTATAATTCTTTACACTTATTTAAAGAGAGATGTGTTTGAGAAAAGAAGATAAAATTATTAATCAATAGCAATTACTTCATTTGGTAAAAATATGGATATTGATGACAGCATAACGAATAATCATAAATGCATATTCAGTTATCTTTTTTCCGCTTTCGTCATTATCATACACTTAGCATATTTTTATATTTCCAGTGATTATTTTACACATGGTTTTCAAAAAAAAAAATCGAGTGTTACCTATTGGGAAAAGGGATATCATGTCTTTATTAAGTTTCTAAATCTTTGTGGTGATCAAAAAAATGCAATGTTTTATTTATAAAATCATGAAATATATTTTACAATATAAATTTAGCACAATTTGAATATTTTTGGGAACTCCGTCTATCAAAAATCGGTACGAACTTATCGGACGATCCAATTATATGAATTAAAAAGTCTTCTTATTTAAGAATCACAATGCCTTATATAATGCTGTCATCCTTTCCATAGCATTTCAAATTATATTTAAATGGTAATCAAATTTATAAATCATTTTAAATATTGATAATTGAATTTGATACGATTTTGACCAGCGCTACAATTAAATAACTTAATCATCGTTACAAATGCTAGTTATAACTTAATCTGTGTCGAATTTTAAAAAAAATATTTCGACTTTAATTGCATTATAAAAGTCTATTTATTACTAAATGTGAAATTCTCGAGAAGAGTTGGCAGATTTGCCAATGGATTTGATATGTTTCTTTTCTATATGGTAGGTTATTGCTGATTTCCTTGGTTCTTGTTGTGTTGGTAGCCACGATTATGGATTTCTACCAACGAGTAACTTCCGATATTTCAGAACGAGAGGAAGGACTAAGTATGTATTTCTTTATCCCGCAGCTCGTTTTGTTTTGTTCCATTATTTACCTAACAATTTCACCAACACTCTTTCATTTTTACTCCATTCAAATATTTATATATTTTCCTTTCCTATCATCTTGTAGTCACTGACATCTTTTTTTAGAAAAAGTGAAACGAAAAATGAATTAAACATTGACATTAAACTCAGGACCAAAGAGGTTTGCCGAAATTATTTTTAGCTGTTGCAAAATTTGTAATACAAAGCATGCTCTTGTTTTATATATCATCAAATATTTCTGATCTACACACTTATCTTTAAACACCAAACATATGCGTAGTGATGTGGTACATTTAAAATTAAGTGATTGCTATCAGAGAATATAAATATAAAAAAATAGGGTTAATGAAATAATGTTTTATTTGCTTTGATTGGTAGTTTACTACTATTTGAATGTTTTTGGTGGATTACTGCACAGATGCCAGCTTGCTCTGGACAGTGAATAAATATTTTTGAGTGGTAAATTTTTATGTACGATTCTTGGTTTAGTAACTTCTAAATAATCAAAGGATTAAGTGATAAGCCGCTTTGTTACAGAGCTGAGATGAGCCATTTAAAGAGTTGGCAAAATTGACCGAAAGTCAACACATTTTAGGTATAAAAAGAAATAAAAATTTAAATTTTAAAATATTTTGTCGTATTTGGAGCAGTTGACATCTCTGATTACGTGGAGCTCTTTTAACTAAACAGGGTGGAAAAATCGAAAAACTTAAAACGATGGAAACAGTTTTGCTATTTTTAAAATGTATTGGGGATTACATGTCTGTCTCATTTAAATTGCAAATATATTTTGGTAGATAGGAATTGTGGTCTCCCTGCTATATGTAATTTTCTTTCCGTGACTTAGTGTTATATATATATACACTGGTTATCATAAATTAAGGAAAATTCACAAAAATCGCGATAGCTCTTTCAAAAGTNTTTCTCTCAAACTTGGACTTTTATGCTCCAGGCAGATGACGTAAGCCGAGTGCAGCGCCACTAATTTGCATATTGCAATTTTACTCAGCTACTCTTAGTGGACAACATATGCAAATTTTGCACGGTTTGGCTTACTTTTGAAAGAGTTATCGCTATTTTTGTGATTTTTCCTTAATTTATGATAACCAGTGTATATATACACCACTTAGAAAATTCATCACCGAAAAGAGTAAAAAGGGAGACGTATGGGTGAACAATAAAAAAATCTGTTATTTTTGTTTTCTTTTTGTCTATTTTGAAAACGCAGTGCTCTGTTTGGGCTTGGACTGGGTGTTGGATGTTTCGCTAAAAGAATTTTTTTGCTTTGTCATGAATTTGCCATTTGAAACATAAACATGTGAAAATATATTATGACATTAAAAATAGCAACAATTTGCTTGTTCGCTTCTTTCCATTTCGTTCTTTATTTTATATTATTATTCCTTTAAATTTTTAAGTTTTATGCACACAAAAAAATTAAAATAGAAGCTGTTCATTTGAATCAAGATTGCTAATTGCTAAATTTTGAGGGGAAAATATACAATAGTAATGAGAGCATTCTCTTTTTTAAGAGAATTAAATTATCAATAAGAGGTAAGATAGTAAAATTTTTGATGACATATCAATACCTGCATTTTAACTGTTAGTATAGAAATAGTTGCGGTTACTTCAATTCTCAGGAAATAAAGCTAAAAAAAAGATATTTTTACTGCCAATACTTCATACAGAGTCGTCAACTTTCCAGTGCGAGGAAAACTTTTATTCGTAGTCCAAAAAATGTGTTTTAATGTAAAAAGGGGTGATTGATAAAAATCAAAAATGTATTCTAATAGATTAAAATTAGTAAAGGTTTTTAGCATATTTCTTTTTAGTTTACTATTGAAGGTGGTTGCATAAAACCTTTTTGATTTATATATGAATTATTTAAGCGGCCTCAGGTGCACAGATGTTTAACCCCTTAGGGACGGGTGATTCATAACAGCATTCGTGCAAAATCAGAATCCGGATGTAACTAATTAAAAAAGGGGAGCTTAAATGTAGGTGTTGCTAATTTGACAGACTTACTTTGTTTTTACTTTAATTATTGTTAGTTTTATCATATATATAATCAATGTTAGTTCAAAGTATAACTGAATAATTTTATTTTGAGTTAAAGTAATGGTGAATTAAATAAATCAAACAATTATAACCCCGACCACAAATAAACTGCTAAAGAACTACGTTGGTTACCAGTTTTATCTTTTTACCCTGATTGATACGGTTTTATGCTGGCACGTATTTGTGACAGTCGGCACAAAAGGGTTAATATAGATCAGTTCAGTTAACTTGTTGGCAAAATCAGTGTTCTGGCATACTTAAGGTTTTAAACGTCTTCTACTTGATAAAATTTTGTACTCATAAAGGAGTAGTTAGCATTTCTTTACATTTTCCGAAATTTGTCAATCCTTATAAAAATATCAAGTATAATTCATAGATGCCATCTTGTTCCGGACAACAGAAAAATATTTTTCGAGTGGTAGCAATTTCGATTTATTGGATTTTTATGTATCGCTACTTCTTAATAATTCAAAAACTTGCGTCATACGCTACTTTGTTACAGTTGGGTCATAACCCTTCATCTAACTATTTACTTCTGTTTAATTTAACCTATTGAGTCAGCAACTACCATATAACTACTGAGGTGGCCTCATTAGTTGGATACTCGTAAGCATTATTTCTTAGTTTCCGCAATTAAGTCGTGTTTAGTCTTTTAAAAAGTTAGAGAAAATTAACCGAAAATATGCACATTTTAGTTACTTTAGTATTAACTCTACAGTTTTTGAAAGTATTTTATTGATTCCGGAGCAAGTTGGTATCTTTGATAATTAAAATTATTCCTTTTGAATACCAATGTGTTATTATTAATCTACTGTTGCTGTAATCTTGATTTTGATTAATTTTATTACGATTATAATGATCTCTTTTACAGGTCCATTTCTATCCTTTTCATTTTTTATAAATGCAGAAAGATTAGTCAAGAATGATGATAGTCCTGATTCCATTAGAGTGTTCTATGGCTTACGAGTAATAACAATGATTTGGTTGATCATGACTCATGTTGGACATGTTGATCATGTCGAAGCATTTGGTATGGAAATAGGCAAAACTATGTAGCATTAAAGGCCTTGGAGCAGAATACTGATAAGCCACATTTTTTTTCCTTCAAAGGTGACCTTCTTACATCAAATTGTTCTTTAACAATGTTTCCAGATAGATACTTTTCAATTTTCCGTAATTTAGATGGATAACACCACAATGCATAGAAACATTATATTGCCTGTCTGGTAATTGGGGTATTTAAGGAAAAAAAATGTTCCCTTAAACAATTTTAAAACGTGGCTTATCAATATAGTGTTCCAAGTCTTTCTAATGTTAGTGATAAATACACATATATGATGCTTACAAATACTGTATTTCACATCTTTTTATCTGAACGATGTTAAATCATAAACGTTAAAGTATATACAGGGCTGGATTACCTGTTAGGCCAGATTAGACCATGGCCTGGGGCCCCCAATGATTAGGGATCCCCTTAAAAAAAATTTTACTAATTAATTTTAAAAAATTAAGAAAAGCAATGATTTTTTTAAAAAAAAAAAATCAATTTCAAACATATATTAATAAAATACAATAATTTTTTTAGTTCTAATTTAACAAAATAAAGTAGAATTTAATTTATTATTACCAGCGGGTGACCGAGCTCCGCTCGGAGAAAACAGGTATCGGAGCTAACTCGAAGATTTAAATTTTCAATTGTGATTTATCAAAACAATACATGCCATAAGAAAATTTGTGNAAAGTATCTATAGCCATTATGGCGAACTAATAAAGTTTGAAAATATCCTATCTGTAACTCCGAACTGCTCGACCGTAGCGCTTCAAAACCGGCGCCAATCGATTCCTCGTGGCCAAAAACCCCAGACCCCCAAGTTTACCGGAGTTTATTAATTCTGGGGCGATTTTCGACTTGGCAACCATTCCTCGTATTATAGTATAAGATTTATTTTAATTTTAAATTTGCTTTCTTAAATGAAAAGATATAATTGAATAAATAAAAAATATACGGGAAAAAAAATTAATCTAAAGGCCCCAAAAATTTGAATGGCCTAGGGCCCCGCTTACGCTTAATTCGGCCCTGAGTATAGATAAACCTAGAAACAAATTTTTATTCCAATTTATTAGTAAAAATAAACTAATTAAGATATAAAGTTCAAGTCACAAACAATGAAGAAACAAATAGCAAACAATGGATCCTAAAGTTTTTTACCTAAAAAAGTCATATATTACTTTAAAAAAATGCCGCACAAATGTAATTTCGATACAGTTCTTGAAAATATATTTTATAATGCCATCTAACTATTGAATTGCTACTTAATTATTAGGACAAAAAACTTTTTATTTTACTTTAGATCTTTTTTAAAGATAAAGAAATTATTGTATTGTAATAGTTTACATTCGAAATCTGAATTCATTCTTATTTCACTTGATCAGTCATAGAAAATTTGAATCTAAATTTCTTCTCTTCAACATTATAGTTTCAATGCATGTATTTCGAAATAATAGTTTTTTGTGTGCATAAGATACTTACATATGCTTTAATGTGAAAGTACTGAACGAGGTACCTGCCTTGCGGCACTGCCTCTTCATTTAATAATATTTGCCAAAGACAACTGAAGTATGGGGTCGAGAGTAATTAAAGATACTTATGTTTCTCAGAGTTGCCAACTTTTAAAGCTTTTTGGAGAAGTTTCTTCGAGCGGAAACTAAGTTTACATTTTAATGCATTAATCGCTGTTTTGTAAATTTAATTTGAAATATTTATCCATATCATTACAGTGAAATGATTCGAAAGTTAATAAGAAACGCCATTTCGCTTCAGCTCGACCACTCTAAAAATATTTTACGAAAAACGTAGTAGTTGGCAGCAATGACGTATGAAAGTAAATTATAAATTGAATTTTTTTTCACGTTGGCAATAGAGCACTGAAATAACAAGGTAATGAATATGAATAATTATTTCTGGCAACATTTTTTTATCACGTGGTCAACAAAACTCACCTCATCCTCATTTCAAGTGATAAAAATAGAATGTTTACACTAGGGAATAGGGCACCTGTTATTCTAACACCCTGTTATTGCGCGAATTTCTGTTCGTCTGCAAATACTGCTCTCTCCCGTTAAGAATACGAAACACGGTCGAGAATAAAGTCAAAAGGGTGACAATAAACTTTTTACCTTTTTTGCTCATGATAACCAAAGAAATTTGTCGCTCAAGTGGTTGAACATGATGATTTTTTCTGTTACATTTTCACTGTTAGTAAACCACCGCGGAAAAAATAGCTCCTAATTGGTCATGCGTGATACGGTACAGTGCTTTTATTTATGTCACTAGAACTGCACAATTTGCTATTGGCGACTGTCTAAACATCTCTGAAGATGATCCTGTGACAACATACTAGAGTCACATCCCGTTTTACAGGGAGGGCAAATTCGCACACCATCCAGCCACAGATCGGAATTTCAACCTGAACCAGAAAACATTTCAATCTCCGCTCCAATTTCAACAGTGCTATTAATTTGTTCAGTGGTCGGAAAACTACATAATTTTTACTATTTACTACAACTGCTTTATTCCAAATGTAATTAACAACTACAAAAAATATTTTTTTTTAAATACAGTGAATACAAACTACTATGAAATTAGTTACTATTCACTACTTTAAGGAGGCGAACTTTTACTGGAAAACTATATTTACACATATGTTCAAAATGGTTTTGAATACGAAATTGGCTTACATTAAATATAAGGGAATAATTAAGAAATGTTTATTCAAGTACACATGAGCCAGTTTGTTATTCCAAAGCACCTTTTTTTCTCATTTGTTCACTTAACCTTCAACTTTTTATGCCTTTTTCGAAAGCGAATTTTTAATTTAAGAAAAGCGAAATTATCAAACATTTGCAATTTTTTTAATTGTTTATTACTCTTTAATTTCCTCTAAGAAATTAAATACATCGAAAATACGTTCCCATACTTTGAAAAAACATCAATGTTTCACCAGTGTGCATTGGCGTGTGAAAGTGTAACCAAAGTGATAAATTATCTATTTTTCGCAATGGCTAGTTTAAATGTTAGCTACACGCGATTTGAAATACGTAATTTCTGTTAATGCTCAACTGCAGCCGCAGGGTCATTTTCATAGCATCCATTGTTGGACCCGCAAAGATTCATGCCCATCAAAATCGAAAAATAAAGTTGTGTTGGAGCCGTGTTTCTTTTCTAAACTAACGTTAAAAGTAGTTGCCAGGAATCGCTACAAACTACTGATTAATTGTATCGCATTACTCACTACATTACTTTTTCAATAAAGTAGCACACTGCACTACAAACTACGAAAAAACGTAGCGACTGCAGTAGTTTCACTACTTATAGTGCGCTTCTTCCGACCTCTGGATTTGTTGTGGAAAATCGGAGAACTTTGTGAATCTAACAGATTTAGACTAACGTTAAAAGTAGTTGCCAGGAATCGCTACACCAGGAATCGAGCACCAGTCATCATTTTGCACAAGGGGAGTTTTCGGCCGACGGGCTATGAACTCATGACTTCTTGGAATTGGGCATAAAGCTTTATCCTGGCTATTAAATCTGCCACTGCTGGATTTCGAACCTTTGACCTTTGAGATGGTTATTTGCGATAATTGCTTTAGATTTTATAGCATATTACAATATAATTTTACATTGCCTTTCCAAGAAACAAAACACACTTCGAAGCAAAAAGATGTGATAAAAAGAACTTTAATATAAAAATTCATTGAAATTTTTGAAATAGAGCGTCATTATATCAATGAATGATAGAGTTTAATTAAAAACATTTGTAGCATTAATTATCAGTTTTGTCTCAAAAAAGCACGAAAGTTGGCGAAGTAATAATACTTATAACGAAAACAATGAGTTTTTTCTGAACAAACTATCAAATGAGTATTGCACTTAATCTTCAAAAATGTTATTAATAACATTTACGTTGTTTGTGCTGTTAATATTTTTAGGTGGTTTGAGAACATACTTTGATCTGACAACAAAATTTTTGGCGCAAATTGTGCCGAGTGGGGTTGTAGCTGTGGAAACCTTTTTCTTTATGAGGTATAATATATCAGTTTTTATTGTCTATTAATTTTTTTAAGTATGTTAGTTATTATTTAGTTATTAATTAAGTAAATAAGTTATTAATTTACTTAAGCAAGTAAGTTACTATAAATTTTTATTTGTTGTTATTTTCGTCAGTTTTCATATGCTATCAATTATTATAAGAGTTTCATTTGTTATTTAATACTATTTATTACTTTTGTTTTGCATTTATTAGCTATTAATTACTTTTGTAATGTATATCTGCTTTAACATGCTATTAATTATTATATTACATCAGTTTTTTATTTGCAAATAATTTAAATTTTTCTTTTTAAATAAGCTACATTAACGAGAAGAATCTTTATGTTACTAATGAAATTTTTTTTTAAAAAAAGGGGTAGTAAATGGAAGAAATTATTGGGATTTGTTGAGAGTAAATTAGACTGAAAGTCACGTAGAACAAACTGAAAACTTAACTTTATTTACTTCAGAAAGAATATAAAAACAAGAAAGATGTTGCCAACACAGGAAACTCAAAACTATCTAACTAATCTCGAACTCAACCGGGTTTCGGCACCAAATATTGGGATTCGTTGAGAGTAAATTAGACTGAAAGTCACGTAGAACAAACTGAAAACTTAACTTTATTTACTACAGAAAGAATATAAAAACAAGAAAGATGTTGCCAACACAGGAAACTCAAAACTTTCTAACTAATCTCGAACTCAACCTCAACAGAAATTATCCATTTATTCTAAAGATATCTATAAGCTTGTAATTTATTGATTTTTTTATGTGTTTTTATTATTTTTTTTACCATTACAGTGCTACATTATTATCTTATAATCTTGTGAGAGTATCGGACCAGAAGATGAATTTTGGTTTGATATTTCTAAGGCGTTATGCCAGGTAAAACATTTTATTATATTTCTCTCTTTTTTGCGCTATTATTATATTTATAAAAAAAGTATTGTAGTTAGAGTGAAATAAAATGTTCACATTATTTTAACCCCTAAAATAGTGGTTAAGCGTTTAAAAATGCAAAATGTAGTGATTAATGAAAATCGATTGTGATTAATGAAGATGAATAGTGATTAATGAAGACTTAAGAATTCGCAATTTTTTACTGGCACATTTATTTCAATTTATTATTGATAGTGACTGCGAAGAAAAAACTTCAGAAGTTGAAAAATAGTGCCTACGAGTACCCGGCCAACGAGGCCACCTCAGTACTTATGTAGTAGTTGTTGACTCAATAGGTTTAATTAAACAGAAATAGTTAATTAGATTAGTGGTCAGTCGTTGATTGTGGAAATATGGGCAGTGAAAAGAGGAGAAAGAAAGGACAACGCAAATATAGAATCAATACAAAAAAAAATTTTAAGGGTAAATTAATAGATTAAAAAACAAATAATGCATTTTTTTTTATAAATATGTAAAATAAAGGTTAGTAAAAATTAGTGAATTAGTGAAAGACGCACACGCACTTTTTATAGATCAAGGAATTAAATGGTTTTACGTCTATTTTTTCTCATTACACTTAAAAATAGTTTTTCTGAGTTACTAACACAAATGACCTTTGTTGTTTCCTTTGCGTTGGGCACCATTATTAAAAATGTCGATATCTAGGATCAGGAAATTCACAGGGCTGCCAACTTTTTAAAATTTTTGCATAATTTTCGTCGTGAAATAGAAAACGAAAACTTATGTTTTTAAGCGTGATTCTTTGTTTTGAAAACTTAATTTAAAGTCGAACTCTACCACTGCATGCAAACGAATATATAGTTCATAAATAACACCACTTAATCCCAGGTAATAACTGATGACGCTTTTAAAATGCCAGCAAAACTGTCAAAAATTCTGAAATCTTTAATTTCTAATTGTCGACCTCTGAATAAAATACTTTGCGAAGAAATTAATAACTCTCATATCAAATTTCATATATTTATTTTGTTATCTCGTGTTGTGTACGAGCCTGGTAACACATTTGTCATTTTTTTCTTAGTATTTCAAATAATTTATTTTACTAACTAGTAACTTGCTTTTTTAAAACGAATGAGTTAATTCTCTTTCTCAAAAGAAAAAGGAGGGAAACTTTTTTAAAACTTGCATTGAGTTAAAAATGTCTTTCGTTAATAGTTACTAGAATAGTTAAATAGTTACTAGTTAATAGTTACGTTAATAGTTAAATAGTTACTAGAATCTGACTGGAGTTGAAATTATTACTTGAGTCATTTTTGATTGACCTTAAGGAGCGATTAAGCCCAAGGAACTATATATTGTAGAAATTACTTGTTTACTAATACTGATAGAGCAAAATATATCATAAAATCTCGAGGGTTTGTTTTCTTTTAAACTAAACGGATTTTTAATTTTATAGTTAAAATGTGACAAAAGTGCTAATGAAAATAAATTCTCAAATTTTAATATATCATCATACGGAAATAAAAATAATTCCTAAATAATTCTCGTGTATTTCGATTAAAAATTACTTTTTATTTGGAAATAATGGAGTGCCAGTAGTAAGAATATTTCATCTTTTCATGATGAATTTCATTATAAATATAGCTTTTGTTCGCAAAATTGTTGTTGTTGTTAATTTACGTCGCACTAGAGCTGCACAATGGGCTATTGGCGACGGTCTGGGAAACATCCTGGAGGATGATCCGAAGACGTGCCATCACAATTTTGATCCTCTAGGGGGGGGGACGTAAAATTACTGTCAACAGAACATAGGTTGTAATTGCCTAAATGCAGTGGTGTTTACTAACAGTTTTATTCTCTGAAGCAAAAGAAGGGGAAGCGAAATATTCTTATTTTCAATTTATTATTTTTAAAGGTTTGATAGCAGAACTGCTCAATTGAAAATACAACCTCAGTGCTTCACGGCAGATTTCGAGAAAAGTGGCTTGGCAACTATTTTCTTTCTATTGTTAACGTTAAAATTTAATTAACGTTAAAATTTAATTTAAAAAAACTGATAAAACAAAATGTATTTTCGAAAGAAAAAAAAATGTTTTGCCATAAATAGCTTGTAGGAAAATGCCAAATATATGAAAATCTCAATTTTTAATATTTTGTCGCTTACATGGATTTTTTTCTATCGTATAGCAGCGTTATTATAAAGTGACCATAAATTCAACGAATCATTAAATTATTGGAAACTTTGCATATCCACCAAAAGAACAGTTAAACCAATTGAATAATAAAACATGAGTCATTTCTCTAATTCAGAGCCGAAAGTTCATTATTTTTCAACAGGCCTCGTACGGACCTTAGAAAATTTAAAAAGTCGTGTTATTATAATAAAGAAGTTGCAAGTCACTTTTTGCTATCTTCCACTTTAAAATTTTGTCACAACAAATTTCGCGACTAATCGTATTTGTTTTTAAATGTTAAGTACAGTAGTGAAAACAAACTTATTCAGATAATGTTTTTTTCCCTGTAATAATACCCCTCAATAAATTCTCTAAGGATCGAATTAACCCTAATTTTATTGTCCTGATACTGCGGGACGAGTAAAATATCCATGACTACGAAACTTTGTTTAAAAAAGTGAAATTAAAAATTATATAAGTCGATTTTACAGTATTATTCATGTTGTGCTAACAGTTATAACATGATTCAAGGTAGTTATGAATATTTTACTCCTAAATGCCAGAGATGAAATGGTATGAAACGTTAAGCAATGTTGATTCCATCACTTTTTCGAGAGTTATGACTACGAAATCCCACATACTTTTTAAATTCCTGATATTTTTAATTCCTTAGTCTGATATACTAATATCGAATGGCACCCGTGAGTAATCACTTTTTGATTGACACGACTTGCAGCAATTCTACTGTATATTTGTAGTGTTGTCAATCGCTTCTACGAAGATTACTCTGCTGACTGCGAAAGTGATCAAAACTGCAAAAGTGATTGCCATTTTGTATGACATTAGGAACCAATAGCAACAATTCATAATTGTCTATCTAGACCTCTACCTCTCAAGCATGATAATCTTAGAGAGAGTCAGTTTATTGAATAATAAATACGTTTTCGGAAAATTTTCAGGACCACTATTCCTCATTTAATGATGATTGCTGTCACCTCTATTCTGACATTTGTGGGTACAGGACCTCTTTTCAAGGAAATTATTGGAAAAGAAGCACAGAATTGTAAAGAACGAGGATGGATGAACCTACTCTATATAAACAATTTCATACCTTTCGATGATATCGTAAGAATTAATATTTATAATCATGTTTGCAATTTCATCATTCCATTAACAGGATTCAAATTCCTATAATTTTATATAGAAATAAAGGCAGATAGTTTTAAACAATGTTTACGAGTGATTTACATTTAATCCATTTTTGTTACTATCATGAGTTTTACTCTTTTAAAAGCTTAAACTTGATAAAAATTGTAATTAGTGTGATAATACCAAGACTTATTTTCAACAAAAATATTTTAACAAAAATATTTTGACAAAAAATATTTCAGCAAAGTAATTTTTTAGTTGTATTTAAGTCTGAAAATAACGATTGTTATGAGGGATTTGCAAAAATGTTATCTTTTGTGCATTGTATTGATTAAAAAATTAGCTTCCTTATGCTATTTTCGTTAATTATATGTAATTAGATTAGGCTTTTCGAAATAGCTATCACTTTAGGATTTAAAATTAAATGCTAATGTTATTTTTATTTAAAAGAATAGACTTTAAGTTATCTTCGCCATTATATAGCAAAATTAAATTCTGGCTTCTTTTATACGGTCGAACAATGAAGCAAAACTATTTTTAACGATCATTTTCAATTTGGCATATTATTAGCAGTCATCAAAATACGACTTACCGCAAATTACTTCTGTAGTGGTGCCTCTTTCTCCAAGATACAAAATACATATAACTTCACTCGTAGAGGAAAAATGCAACTCTTCTACTCCATTTGCATTTCGACAACCACACAAGATACAAAATATATATAACTTCACTCATTGAGGAATAAGGCACCTTTTCCACACCATTTGCAGTCCGACAACTACACAAGATACAAAATATGTATAACTTCACTCATTGTGGAAAAAGACACCTTTTCCACACCATTTGCAGTTCGACAACCACACAAGATACAAAATACGTATAACTTCACTCGTAGAGAAAAAAGGCACCTTTTCTACTCCGTTTGCAGTCCGACAACCACACAATATACAAAATCCGTATAACTTCGCTCATATAGAAAAAAGGCACCTTTTCTACACCACTTGCAGTCCGACAACCACGCAAGATACAAAATATGTATAACTTCACTCATTGAGGAAAAAGGCACTTTTTCTACACCATTTGCAGTTCGACAACCACACTAGGTATAAAATACTTTACTCATTGAGGAAAAAGGCACCTTTTCTACTTTAATAGCATTCCGATAACTACAATGTCGTGGGAATAGGATAAATGGGTGATGAATGGAAATAGATCCCCTAAACAGGCCCTAGATACCCAATTGAAGGAATATCGGAAAAGAAGACCAGTAAAATCAGAAATAGAATTCACTCCTAAAGTAAAAGCTATTAGAAATAGAAGATCTTTGTTACAATATTAACACCAAATTTTATGTTCTTGTGAAACTTTTTTTCCAGTAGTTGTGAACTAAAGCAAAAAGGTCGAAACCTTAAGGTTCCTTGCAACACCTTTTCAAATCCTCCTTCTGGCATTTCTAAATGCAATTCCCTAGATAGTTATAGAGTACAGGGTAACCATAGTCTTGAAAAATATTAAAAGTGGGGGGAAATGTTTCATAAGATTGTTGGAAATTTTATCGATTTTAATTTTGAGAATTCAAGTGATTGGTTTTAACATCCAAATATATTTCCTAAAACGTAAAAATATTTTTGGTTGATGAGAATCATATGAAAAAATTTCTCTCCACGAAATTTGTCTTCCACTTTTAAATTTTTTCTATTCTGGAGAAATGGGAAGAAACTCCCATGTAGCCGATAACCATAATTTTACGAAAACAAAAAACGTATATTTAACCTTTAAATTTCATTTAGCATTCGTACATCATTTTTTACATGTTATTTTAATGGTAAATTTGCTTCGTCAATAATACTTAAAGTACACAGAAGCATTTTTGCTAAATCTGGCTAGTAAATTCACTTCATCAATACGTAAAACATACAAAAATATTTTTACAGAAATAAAATGGTAAATTTATTTTGTCAATATTAAGTATAGTATACGGAAGATTTATACCGAAATCTAAATCGTAAATTATGTGCTGACTCATAAATAGAACAAGATATAGATATTTTTAACTTATGAGCTGGCTGCCATTTACAGTTACGCCATTTTCTTAAATTGAGCCAAATGTCAAAAGGTCGTTCAAATATAGTTTCTCATCGCAGTTGACGGCAACGAGATTTTTATTTCGGTTGATTTCGCTTAGAATCTTTTAGCCCTGAGTAAAAGGCGTGCAAGGATTGAAGACCCCTAGTTAGTTATATGAAAATCTTTATCTATACAAAAATAGATTAAGGTTGAATATTTTAAAATCTATTCCATTATAATCAGCTGGGTGACGCAGTTGGTTTGTCGTCGGCCTTCTGAGCCCAAGTCTGCGGGTTCGATCCCCGGCCCAGACACCGGACTTTCGGGATGCAGAAAATCCTAAGCGGCCATGTCGTATGTTTATGCGGCATGTAAAACATCCCTGGAGTGCCTTATTGGCTCTTGGCATTTCCGGCAAAAATTAAATACCTAGTGCACTTTAGCATCCAAATAAGAGTCTCGGTGCTGCCATCTAGTCTGGCAGAAACTAGACGTCCAAATTAACATGGCCTAAGGTATCTCCCATTGTGGTGGTCCTGAAAGAGTGGATACCACTTCTGAAGAACGCACTAGGTCTGCTCATGTGTGCGCACTTGTGCAGCTCATTGGAAATAAAAAAAAAATAATAATCAGCTTATTTCGGTGGATTCAGAAAATAATTTATTCTATTTGTATAGCAGATGTCTTATATATCTCTTTTATTTTGTCTTAGTGTATGCGAAATTCATGGTATTTGTCAGTGGATATTCAGTTATTTCTTACAGCAATTTTGGTCATTGTACCTTTCAGGAAGTGAGTATGAAATTCTACTGTTTATTATATTGACGAATGTTAAATCTCTTTTTAAAATTATTTATACTATAAGAAGAATCATGAGTTTCAATCAAAAAAGTATAATTAAAATACGTAAAGGAATCAAGTCTTATACTTCATTTTTAGTATAGTAACGTATGCTAATGTCGCACAATGTTGCAAAGGTAGAAAAAGGAAATAAAACTAGAAAAAAAATATCGTAACATTGTTTTTCTTTTATTTTTATAGATAAAGGACTGAAAGTGAGGTATTAAATTTGGCGCCTCTGCATGCATCAAAGGGCATACAAACTTAACTACACTAAGCTACTCATTGACATTGATTTCTCTCAATGGTCGGCATCAGAAAGTTATTTCTGCAAAACAAATCATCCGAAGATGCTTTCAAGTTCCATAGGTTGCCAGAAATTTACTCCTTTCAGAAATTTCAGACAGAAATTACATTATCTTTTACGTTACATAATCTTAAAATTATTTAAAAGAAGGTTATAGTTTGGTAGTCTTATTGGAAATCTAACTTGGTGACACATTTCGATAAATAGGGAAAACATTCGTTTCGGAAAAAAATCCCCAACTATTTGATGTTGCTCATTTGATTTGATTGGATCACTAAAAATGGCGCGTCTTATGCTGACAGGCCCTTAACAAATCAAAGTAGAGATGAAGAAATTTTTATGTTTCGTTCACTGTTGTCGTCAGTAAGAAATGTTTGTGAAATCGTCAGTAAGAAATGTTTTGTGCATAAAGAATAGCAGTTTTTATTTTAGAATTATTAGAATTAGAAATAATAGAATTATTATTTACTTCAAATACACATTCTGATTCATTTTCAGAAAAATAATTTCAATGAAATTTAAATTTAATGCAATATTCTAATTTTACGAAAACAGAACAGATTTTATTCAATAGGTTTTCATTTTTTCATTTCAAACGATTGAAGAGAGCAGGCAAAAAGAAGGCTGCGCAATGTCGATTCAACAGTTGGCGATGTTGATATAGGTTCGCGCTAGTAGAGCTTGGCATTCATTGATCCAAACAGGCTCCCCTTACTAAACTTTAAAGTATTTGTAAGGTTTATTTGAGGTTATTTTGAGGTGTCAATGTTGATTTGAGGTTTATTCGAAGTTGATTTAAAAAAAACCCTTAAAAGATCAACCTTCCAGGGTGTATAATCAAGGTGTATGAAGTTTTTTTTATTCATGATTGAGATTGTTTTGAGGTTGATGGAAATCTATTTTAGATCAAGTAGCTTAAAGAGGTTGTTTTTGAGGAGTACGGATTATTTTTTCTTCATTTCAAGCAAATAGATGTATTTGAGGTGTGAATGATTTCACCTGATCTAAAATAAATTATTTCTGAATTATATATGAGGTTGATTTTGTGAAGCGTAAATGAGGTTTATTAATAAGGTTAATCTTGGTGTAAAACATAACCTCATTTTCTATTTTAGGTGTACTTTTTCACAACTGACAATTTTGAAACAACCTCAAAAACACCTCATTTTTTTTTAAAGGGTCTTTCCATAAGGATAAGGATTTGTTCTTAACTTGCAACGGGGTATAGTTATAAGAGAGTCCCTGATTTTTTATTTTAGAAGAGAGTTAAATTTATCTGCAGTTGAAATCTACTTTCAGTCAGTAGAAATGGAACGAATAATAGATGAGAGTTTATTTCATCCATCCTTTTTTAAAATATTAAAAGACTAATCTAAAACAGAAAAACTACTGACCTTGTTATAAATAACGCCAGTGATAAAAAGTGAAAAAAAAAACCGTGGCAGTTCTCATGCACTTAATTACCATGTTAAACAGGGTTTTCAGTTGCTACTGTCTTAAAGAAAACAAAGAATTCCCCCGAAAATAAATATTGAAAAATAATAGCTGCATCAAGTTTACAAAGCTACATCAAATTTAATACCTTGATTTGAGAAGCTAAGAAATGAACAGTATGTTTACCCAATACCCATAACACTAAAGTGCTCCACGTCTGTCGCGAGTCTTTGAACTGGTTGGGATAACAGATTACTTTTCTTTTTAGCTTTTAATTTTAAGGACATTATTTTTTCCTCTATATTCTGAAGCGGCGTTCAAATCGGCAGCTAATTTTTTCGGATCAATATTATCCTAAACTTCAGAACCATGAGAATCTAGTTCTTTTCAATATTGCTTTAGAATTTCAAAAGGTTCCGCTATGACATCCAAATCTACTTCATTTTTCTCAAGTTTTTCTAAAGATTTTAAATGCCTTGTAATATATGCTAGTATACCTCTCTTTGAGTTCAATCTACACATAGTATATAGTCAGTGATTATTCTCATAAACTTATACAACACTGCTATAAATTAAAAGGTGAATAAAATATCAAACAACAACTCATTTCGTGTCCCGGCAAGGATGTCAATTGTAATATTTCATTTCTTATAAATTTAGCTTTATTAAAAGTATCTGCTCTTTTTCTACAGTTTAACACAGAAGTCTTAAAGTTCAGTTCGAAGAAAGCATGTCTGACTTCCAACGAAAGGATAAATGATTCTTTGTCTTGCTGATTTGTAAACTAAAAACACCTGCACTGTGTGTTAATTTCATAAAATGAAAACATTTTTTGACGACCACAAAGTTTCTATCTACAAATAAAGAAAATTAATAAATAAATTAAAAAAAACGTAATTCCTAGATCCAAAGATTCAACTAATTTCTTCCGCTTCCGTTCAGTTCTTAAAAATTGTTCAAATTAGAAATAGTACTAAGTAAAAAGTACTAGTTAAAAATAGTACTTTCATATTAATTACACTTCAAGTATTTGAGTAGATTTTGAGTATTAGCTGCTTTAACTATGTTTATATTCACCACTTACTGGTGAAGTACTGGTACAGTCTTACTGAAACATACATTATATGTATGTAATTAACATTAGACGTAATCAAATGTTATATGATTGGGTCGTTGTGAGACAATCTTAAACTCCGGAAGAGTGTTAAACTTTAAAAAGCTTTAAACTTTGAAAGTCATTTACTAAAAATCGAAATATGTCTATGTCGTGATTTTATAAAACTCTCAGTATTGATTAAATAGAATTAAATATTAAATATTGATAAAATAGTATTGATGAAGATGCTGATGCAATATAGTTTGTCTAAGCTAAGAACTCCTCCCGCCATAAAGTTTGAGACCGTCTGGTGCTATGGAAGCAAGAATGGCACATTTTAGGGAGGGTAGCTTCACCCTAGGACTAACACAATAGACCGAAGCAAGAGATTCCCTTTCTCTCGCCGATCCAAATCGAAAAAGTGACCCCGCACCCCTACTTGAAATAGTTATACCTCGTTACCATAGTCACCGCCACAGGTTCAGACGAATGTCTGGGGGAGTTCTTATTTTAGACAAACTATACCTCCTAGAAGAGAGAAGGCCCCAGCATGGGTTTCGAAAAACATGAAATTCGATCCTTTAGTAGTCCAAACGTAATGACATCTTTCGTATTTTCCACCTCTGTACAACTTAGTAGTCTGAACTTAGTGACATCTTTCTATTTTTCCTCCTCCGCACAGTTTATCTTCGTTTTGTCTGATAACTAAGTTGATCCGTGCTGAGGCCTCTCTTCTAGTAGGTGTTGGTAAATGTTGCTTAGCGATTTTATTTTAATGATATTTGCTTTTAAATGTTACAGTGATTTACAGAATAATTTTCTTGTTTAGCAATCCAAGGGCAGCTATTGTTTGCATTGTGGCTTTACTATTTAGCGGAATATTTGGCACTTTCATATCACACATACTATACAACCTTCCTCCAACGTGTCTTACAATTAATCTCCAAAGCCAGTAAGTTCCTAACGTTTTTTTTTAAAAAATGTTTTTCTGAATGTCAAAAAACTATTTTCCATTCATCAATTTTTCTTATTTTCTAATTCATTATATCTTTTATTATCTGTGAGCCAGTTATACGTTTGATTTTATTCTGCTTTCTAATGTGAATTAATTGCATTGGAAAACGGTTTTAATTGATATAAGAGAGATAATTGATATTGAGATAAGTTTAATTGATATAAGTTGGTGTGGACAAACGAAATATTTTTGTTGTTGATCACTTAAAACTCTATCACTTGTTATATGAAAAGTAACGTTTCGATGTATTACAGAATAATCAACAATTAAATGCTTTAGTACGCTTTGTACTCTTTATTCCGAATTCCAGGATTTTTGAGCTAATTTTCAAGATTCAAACTAAGTGCTGGTTATCCAGTACCAGCCCTGGTATGCTCTCACTAATTCATTGGATCTGATATAACTCAAAGAGACAAAACAATGGCATGAATAGGCATGTAGTCTAGTATATGGACGACACAAACATTAATATAAAACGATAATAATAATAATGGCAACACAGGTGCACGGTTCGTGGATCCACTTCCTCCGCTGCTTCTGGTGGCTTGCTTCCGGGCTGCGTCAGAAATGAAATGAAATAAAGGAATGAATGAAATAAAGAAATGAAATATGAATGGAAAAGAGTTTACACTCAGTGTTTACACTCTTTGCAAATTTCTTAGACAGTAGTATACCATCCGATAAGAAAAAAACTGCCAATGGGCAGTGTGTAATATTTTCCTTTAAGAATTCTTCGCTGAAGATATCATTAAATTTTGCTCCGTCACATTTTTCTGATTAACTGAAATTACAATTATGCAGGTATAATGAAATAGAAAGTAATAGAGAAAATAAATATACAGCTATTTACATATTTACACGAGATTGAGAAAATTTTGTCAACGACAAAGAAAAGGTTTAACAAGCATTAGTCACTCAACTGCCTTACCTGTGGCTCTGCTTTAGTGACGACCCAGGCGTCCTGGTAATCACACTAAAGTTACCAATTTATTGTCCCCACAAGTATACCGTTCGTGTCGTGTGAGGTTGTGTCGATGAATTAGCGTAAGATTACTCCAATGGTAGAAATCACATAAATCTCGGCGCGCTGCTGCGAAGTGGCATTAACCGATTCGTCGGTAGTAATAAATCGATGATAAGGAGTAGTGAGGAGGAATGAAGATGGAAGGAGGAGGGGGTACTCAGGACCAAAAAATCGAGAGGGGGCTCGTGTGACATGGACAATCAAGAAATGTAGAGTGGCATGGGGTATAATTAAACGACAATATAATCATAAACAATATAAAATAAAATAATCATTTAGATTATGATGATCGATAATATTAAGATTACTCCAACAAATTTGATATTGAGCATTAGGAATTAGTTTTTGAAAAGGAGTGGTAAATTACAGATCCGATAAATGAGATGCTTTGTTTGAGACGGTAGATGCTTTCCTGACGGTTGTAGTTGTCATTTGTTGAGATATTGCCACAAAATATTAATGCTTCTCTCGATTCTAAGAAAAATTTTACTGTGCTAGTAAGTTCACGTTAATTCTAGCTAGAATTTTTTTTTAAAGATACTACCTTAAAGTTTAGAAATCTGATAGATCTCAGTTCTCGTACAGATGTATTTTCCTCTTGAAAAAATGCATTGTGGTTGTCACAGATTCATGCAAATGATCGAGGTGTTTCATATATCCATTACCAATAACAAAACCCTTTCTATGATAGTAATGATTGTTTATTACAAACACATCACTTATTAGGCTATTTATATTAATTAAAATATTTTTTAAAGACTTGCTTCATTTATAATTATTTGGGTTCTTTTTTAATTTTTATTAAATTTGAATAGGGATAAATTTTTGAAAAATTTATTCTTTAACACATTTTGAGGTTTTTTCTAATGCAAAATGGATTAATTTAATTACCTTTGAAATTTTATTAATTACATTGCAATTTACGAAATCCTATTAACTGACGTCAGTTAGCATTTAACATTTATTTGCTAAACTACTTTGCAAGACAAAAACAAAATTCGATTGAATTAAAAAAATACAATATTTTGTTTTTCGATCATAGGTTAGAAATATACATCTAATGCAGTAACTTGTTTTTAAAGCAGTTCTTTTTAAGCATAATAAAGCTTAATTATTAATTAGACATCAATCTTTTCATAGTTACTAACCCAAAAGTTATGAATTTCTACAATATTTAAAGTTGTTGAGTATTAATAAAATGTAAGTAAAGTTCGTTCAATTTTTGCCATTGCAGACCTTTGGATTCTTATGCTCAACATAAAATCTTAATTTAAGATTATTAATTATAAAAAAAATGAAATAATTTCGCTCTGCACATTATAAGTATCCGAATTAATTATAACCGTGTTTAAATAGCCGACCCAATTTTAGGTTTACTATAACTAATGTTCAACTCCGTATCCTAGTAATTTTGAACCCTAAATTGGGTTCAAAATTACTAGGAAGACAAGAGAACTCCTAGATCAAGTATGGGGAGAAATTTACTTTCATGGTGGTTTTTTTTACGGAGCCACGACTTTCAAATTAATTAGTAGTTTTTATTTATTGATTTGTTTAATTATTTAGCATAATCCTTGCTTCTACACAACTTTTTTTTAAAAATCTAGGTTCGGCCAAAAGGAACTCAATCGCTTAGGGTTCCATAGCCTAAAAAAATAGGGATCCACTGCACTAATCATTTCAAAACTAACATTTCTGCAATTCAAAAAGATAAAAGTACGAGAAAATTTAAGAGAAAAATACTAGATTTAAAAAAAAAAAAATATTACTCACCTTTTTTTCCTTCAAATATATAAAAATAGTTCCCTATGTGCTGCAACTCAAATTGCCATTTAAAAAATGTCAATAAAAGACATTGCTCTCATTTTTTTTTATCCTATTTATTATTATAATTATTTTTCTGTGTCAATTTACTATTATTTAGATTTGTTTCCAAGTTCCTTCTCTCTTGGAGGTTTCTCTTTTTCCTTCAAAGCTTATATCAAGTGATATCGCTTGAGAACTTTGCTTCAAAACTGGTAGTGTTTTAAAATTTGATTTTTTATTTAAAAGAAAATTCCTATAAAATAGTTTTTGATCAGTGCCGTAGCGAGCTTAACTCGCGCCCGGGGCACAATACCTTTTTAGCGCCCCCTCCCCCTCACTCGAAAACCACCTAATATTATAAGTAAAATATGCTCGCAAAGTAATAAATAAATTAANTCTTTTTCCTTCAAAGCTTATATCAAGTGATATCGCTTGAGAACTTCGCTTCACAACTGGTAGTGCTTTAAAATTTCCTTTTTTATTTAAAAGAAAATTCCTATAAAATAGTTTTTGATACCCATAACTTTTGAATATTTTAAACGAATAAAGTTAAAACACGATGCCATACCCTTCAACAGGATTTTCGTAGCAATAAAAAACTATTAGTAGAAGAATTTATCAAACTCGAAGGGTAAAATTGTTTGACTTGCAATTCCGAACAAACCACTCTATAGTATAGCAAGTATCTGGACCAAGTACTGGTGTTTAATGAATTATGATCAGTAATTAGAAAAAATTAAAAATATTAAAAGAAAATTAATAATAATACCACTAAAATTCTTTTCATTTAAAATAATATTATATATACTGAAATAGTTACTTTAGGGGCGGGGTTGGGTTGCGGTATTCAATTTGCTGTTTAAAGACCGCCCACATTGTTTGGCGGCAAGGATTATGGCCTGCACAATTGGTGATAAGGCAATTTTCGTCGATAAAAGGCGTACTAGCGATTCTAACTACAAAAAATAATTAAAATCATCTTAATGAACTAAATAAGTAAAAGACAGCCAAGCAATACCCAACCCGACCCTTTTTGTCTAAGCTTCGGTGATGTCTTGAACAATGTCATAAATTTCTTGTAAATGCATAATTAAATTTCAGGTAATTCAAGGAAATTGTAAACAGAAAATAGTTACATGCAAAAAAATATCAATTTATTTGTGTAATTTGATTATAAATCCGTAACTAAATATTTTATTTCGGTGGGTTTGAGGAGATTTTTCTAGAATTGCAGGCAAGAAAAAAAATGACGTTTCTTGTTTGCATAATTTTAATTTAAAAGAAAAAAAAAAGATCTATCAAGTAGGGTTAAATGGGATAATTATGACGGCGGGGTTATTTTGACAAGCTGTATTTTTGTTAAAAAGATCCTTTATCATCAATTATGGGGCCAACCAAACACAATTTAGAAATTGTATTAGGATTTTACGAACATTTAAAATCAGTTATAAAGGAAAAAAAAAAAGACATCGTTAGATGGAACCTTTAATCACGTCGTCTGCCGTGTGCATGGAATAGTTTACCTATTCCATGCACACGGGAGGGAAAGTACTGATTAGGGAGTCAGTAACAGTTCTAGAATGAGTATCAGCTAATGGTCATAATTCCCCCACATGTAGTCTAAATAACCCAAATTTTTGCCTTTTGAGAAATTTAGTGGGTTATCTATGACCAGCCCTTTAAGACCGTAAATATGTTACTTATAGGTTGGTTAGTTTTTTTTTCTACATTCTAAAAAAATCGAAATACCCTACACCACTAAAATATTAGCTTACATTTTTTAACGAGACATATTACAGTTCGAAATAAATAAAAAAATTCAAAAGTGGTCATAATTACCCCAATTGACCCTAATGGGATATGAACAAAAGAAAAACTTTTTAAATTACATTTGCATTAATTACTTTATCTTTAATTTCTTATCTTCAGTTATCGACCGATCTAAAAGATCTCTCTGTTTGGCAATAGTTAGCTGTAGAAAAGTGCTTGGTGGTAAGGCTTGTACTCAGGCGCAATACATTCGGTCGGCAAAGTGTTAAGATCAAAAATAATATAATTATCTCTTTAAGGCTAACACTGGACGCAATCCAATCTTTTAATTTCATTAAATCCTTCTAGGTACATCTCAGAACTTTTCCAGAGAAGTTATTTAATGCCGCACTTCCACCTGCCAACGTATTGCATTGGATTGCTGGTAGGATACTTTTTGGCATTAAGAAAGTATGTCCGTGTAACAAGGGTAAGTTAATGCAAATATTATCTCCAATCTGAAACTAATATTAATTTAACTGCAGTGAACGAATACGATGGGTATTGCCATCATATTCTCCTTATCTCAACTATGTCTTGTGGAGCAATATTGAAGATTTAAAGACTAAATTTATTTATATAACCCCAAAACCATCGCTTAAACCAAAGCTGCTATTCAAACAAGGTCAAAAATATTGATCCACCGATACTTCAGAGAATTATACAGAATTTTGTTCTATGTCTGCTGCACGCTATGGATGGTTTACTGAATGTAAACAATAAGAAGTTTCCTAGAACTGGAAGAAATGTAGAAAACTTCCGATGTATCCCCCCGCTTATGTTATGCTTACAACGAGATGTTTAAAATTTGCGCGTAATTTTGCCATTCATAGGAGTTTTCTGTAATTTATAAATTCGAACAGATCGTGAGCCTACAACAAATTTAACAAAACTAATATCACAGCATAAATAAAGTGTAAGGTTCGCCATGTTTTGAGTGTTATCCCTAATTTGGCTATTTTTGTCTAAAATAGGTAGCACTGTTTTTTCATTCGAATATCACAGCATAAATAAAGTGTAAGGTTCGCCATGTTTTGAGTGTTATCTCTTATTTGGCTATTTTTTGTCTAAAATAGGTAGCACTGTTTTTTCATTCGAATATCACAGCATAAATAAAGTGTAAGGTTCTTCATGTTTTGAGTGTTATCCCTTATTTGGCTATTTTTGTCTAAAATAGGTAGCACTGTTTGTTATTTTTTGGGTAGTATCATAGCAATTTTGTGGAGTTTTCCAAATTCATTTCTTGTTTGCTTCATTGAAAGTTAGCTTGAAAGAACGTGTTATATTAAAAACACTACACGTATAACAATATTGAATGGTGCGTTTTTTCAAGATTAGGCGCAAAAATCAGTCTTACGTAGTAACCCGGAAGTTTTACAGCGAATTTTTACCCTCAGCGCCATCTGCGCTTAGCTTCACACGGTCATTCCATCCATAGTCAATGATGGGAGGAATATCGAACATGTCATAAACTGAACCCGAATGCATGTTGTTAATTTCAAATTTTGTAAAATAATTTTAACTCAGTAGTTTTTGAAAATTTTATTTTCTGTTTCATTTTGTTCAATATGATGCTCCAAGAAAAGTATTTAATTTTACGCTATATTTGAAAAATAAAATTTAACGGAAGAGAAAAAAAATGAAGCTGCACACTGTATTCGATTGCTACTTATCAAACCATTACCTTTTTTTCCTGAAAGATAGAGACTGGTATATATATATATATAT